AGTCTGCTCCAGGTTCAGTGAGAGACACTCTTAAAATATGAGGTAGAAAGTGACTGAAGACTTGACCTCTTTGTCTCCACATACAAGCGTATACACTTTCACACATACACACCCTGCACACACATGCACACCTTGTACACACATACACACTCTGCACACACATACACACCCTGCACACACATACACAAACAGAAGGGGAAGGGGAAAGAGAGGGCCGTGGAATACATATGGCATGAAGGGTTGTGGCTTGAATAAGAAATGTCCCCATAGGTTCATGTATTTGAGCACTTGGTCCTCATTTGGTGACACTTTTGGGGGGAGGTTTATGGAACCTTTAGGAGGTAGAGCCTCAAAAGAGGAAGTATGTCATGTGGGGTGGGGCACTGGGTTAAGGTTCAACAGCTTTGCCCTACTTTCTGTTCTTTCTCTCTGCTTCCTGTGTGTGTGTGTGTGTGTGTGTGTGTGTGTGTGTGTGTGTGTGTGTGTATGAGAATGTGATCAACCAGCTTCCTGCTCATGATGGATTTTGATGTTGTTTTAGCTTTGACACAGTGGCTGCACCTTAATATACTGCTATCTCAGCCAGCGATTGCAACTCCGTAGTTACCAGCTTGCATCTCTAGCAGCAGCCTGGCCACTCAGGCTGCAGCCCGGTGAGAATTCTGCTCCTGTGGGCACGGCCCTGTTGCCATTGCTAAAGGTAGCTTTAACTAAATCTCTATCGTTCTATTTATGAATAAGACTTGAGATTCAAAGGCTGGGGTGAAAACCCGCTAGCTCAGAGAGGCTGAGTAGCAACTAGCTGACCCTCTCTCCTTGCTGGTGCCCAAGGAAGACCTGTACTTCCGCTTTGCCAAACCACAAAAAGCTGTGCTACTCCAAACTCCTCCCTACGACTTCCTGTGTCTCTCTATCTCTCCTGGATGCCCTCTGGTGCTCTATGATTAGTCTCTGTCAACTAGTTGCTCTCTTAGCCTCCTGACCCAAGGTTAATTTTATTAATGCAAATGTAAACTCCAGGTTCACAGTGTGATCGAATATTCCCTAACACTTCTGGAATCATAAGCCCAAAACCCTCTTTCTTTCTTAAGTTGCTTCTGGTCATATATTTTATCACAACAACAGGAAAGTAGCTAATAAAGTGACTGACTGTTTGGTGAGAAGAAACAGGACCAACAAGAGAGAAAGAGGGGCAATGGAGGAGGGTAGTCAGGGCTGGGATGAGAAAGAACAAGGTATAATGACGTATATTTATGAAAGCCCCACACAATCCCATCACTTTATATGCTAACCTAAAAAGTAAAAATTGTTTTAAATAAAATAATTTAGATAATATATTCTGATACCAAAAACCTGCTGCTAACTTTATTGCAAACAGTTTCTAAGAGAAAACAAATTAGTTCCAACCTCTCTTCCCATCCTTTATGTACTGTTATTGTTCTTACCCCGAGGCCTATTCAACAGTGTAGCTGTGTTTTTTATTTTTTCTCTGCTCATCTCATCGTCCCTGCCCTCACGGGAGTGACAGTGGGAGGACATGGCTCCCAAATGAGCCGGCAGGGGAAGGAACAGGCCCAGAGAAGACAGGAAGGTGTACTTCTCCTGCCCATCCCCGCCCTCCTTCCGGGAGATTCTCTGTGTCTCTGGGGATCTCCCCTGTCTGGCTGGCTTGGCAAGAACTGTGGCCAGAGGCTGGTGTGTGACAGAAAGAGGAGACAGACTCTCTGGGAAACAGAAGAATTCTGAATCCATACCCATCCACCTTGACACAGACGGCAGCTCGGCTGAGTTGCCAGCCGCTGCTTCTCCAGGCTTGGCAAAATGTCCACTGCCTGTTCTATCAGATCATAGGCTCCCCCAGGCCAAGATTCTTCAGTGCTCATTGTCGACGGAAACATGGAGGCATAACACTTACTTAGGAACCACAGGGTGGGTTTGAGAACCAGATAGATTGGAAGCCAGGGGTAAATTACTGACCAGCCTTTTTAAGATTACCAGCAATCTTAAAAAAGTGAGCCAACTTCTCTCACAATGGGTTCTCAGTATGTACTTTGGAAAGGGTGTATTTATTTTCAGTCTATGTACATGTGTGTTTTGTCTATGTGTATGTGTAGGCACCACGTGCATGTCAGCCCTTCTCAGGAGCCAGAAAAGGGCGTGAGGTTTCCTGGAACTGGTGTTACAAATGGTGGTGAACAGCTGTGTGGGTGATGGAACTGAACCCACATCCTCTGGAAGAACAACAGATACTCTTACCCCCTAATTCATCTCTTCTCAGTCCCAATACGGACTTGTAGAATTGAATGGAAAAATATCTGAAGTCGCTTGTGTTGCTGGGTTAAGGAACAAAATGATAACCCGGAATTCAGCTACTCTGTCTGAAGTTTCAAAGGCGTCAAAGATCCTAACCCTGAATATCACGGGGGCTAGAACATACATGGAGAGTCACAAGCTTCTCAGAGACTGCACCCTGCCAGCAGCACACAGCACAGTCAGTCCTGAGCTCTCCTAGAGTGATGTGATTGTGCATCACCACTTGGAATAACTTTTACATGAACATATACATCCATACTCCCGTACTCACTCAACACAGAACTCCTGCTGAGAGAGATGGGGGGGGGGATACATCACTACCTCACCCACAAAGCTCTTCAGAGCATATCAACCAGCTAAGCTCTCCACCCCCGAGGCTAACAGGCCAGAAGACTGTGGGCTTTTAAATATCACTCAAGGGTCTCTATTCTTTCGACATTGTGACATGACCTTGTGGTCTGCCTCCGCAGCTGTTCTGGAAGCGTGTAGCGCACCAGCTACAGGTTGAACACTTCTGATGGTCGACCCTAGCAGACATCTTACTGAAATCCAGAAGTGCTCTGGAGCACTGTCCTGGTTTGCTCTCTATCGCTACGGTACCCAGAACCACGTGTGTGCTGTGGCGGGGGCAGGGGGGGGGGTAGTTACACCATCCACAATAGGCTGGGCCCTCCCTCATCCACCATTAATCATGAAAACACCCCCAACAGAAACGCCCGCCGGCTATTCTCATGGAGGCAGTTCCTCAGCCGAGAGTCCGTCTTAGCAGGTGACCCTGGTTCATGTCACGCTGACAAAGCTAAGCAGCACAAGCAGCAACTGAAGAGGAAGACAGGCGGCGTTTCACAGCTGTTTCACCCATCATGGCTGCAGCTAAGCCAAACCTGTCCCTGTCCTGGTGCTCTGGCAGCGGAGGAGGCTGACTTCAGCTTTAAAGGGCCTCCTAATAACATCTGGGCAAATCAGCTTACAGGGCTGGACACTGTGTCCCAGCCACAGAGAAGGCTTTTTTTCCTGTCAGGACAGAGCTCACTGCCACAGTGAAATACCAGGAACCTCTTAACATTTTTCTTGATTTCTTTAAGAGTCAACATTAGACATATTAAGAACAACAACCCAATCATTAAGGCCTCTGTGTTTCTTCCAGGAGCCAGCTCTCCGGCTTTAATCAGGTTAGGGCCAACTCATTCCCATCCCAGCCATCTGTCTTCTTTGTTTACATACACACACACCAAGTGGCATTCTTCTTTAAAAAAAAAAAAAAAGGTCATCAAAGTTGGGAACAAAAGGGCTTTTATTATTTATACGTTAAATAACATCTATTATACGTTAAATAACATCTATTTGCTTTCACTAGCCTGCACACAATAAAGTAGGTCGATTCTGATAAAGCCTGGCAGGTGTTAATTATTTGGGGGGTCTGGGGTTGTTTTGTCTACAACAGGAGATGACTGAGCCCACACTGAAATCTGAGGCTGCAGGGCCTCAGAAGTCACCAGTCCATGAGTGCATTTCCTCTGAAGAAGCATCCGGCCTCAGACTGGCAGAAATGGATGTGAGCTTGTCACAGAAAGTTATGCTTTGGTGGGGGGGAGGTTGGTTTGGTTTTCAATCCCTCAGCTTTATCACCCATTTTATGGGCTGGAGTTAAACGGCAGTACAATGCAGTTTGCTCTCTTACTGCTCAGCACTAACAGCCATGATGAGCCATAATTAGAAGTAAAACCGCCACATAAATAACATGGCAGAGAAATTGCCACTGTGAGAAGCCAGACTTTGGCTATGGAAACTCCAGTGGGCCCTACGTATCCATCACACTCAAGGGGCACTGAATGTTTTAGCCCATATTTGTCTCACTAAAGCCAAAATGGGAGCCATTTAGACTTTCAAATAAGCTTTTGAAAATAGAGAGTGCAATTTTGAACAGACTGTCTTCTTCTGAGTGTGATGTAGAAACCTGTCACCTGGAGGCCAGGACAGCCAGCTGTAGAGACTGGGAGACAGAGAGGTAGGAGCCCTGAGTGCAGTGGGAAAATGCCAGGAGGCAGAGAAGAGGCTGCCACCCTCCACCACCACCACCACCACCCACACACACACACACACCGGCATTATGGCTCCATGCACTTCATGGGAGTCAAGGGATGCCTGCCCACCCAACACAACAGCCTAGGCTTGCTCAGGCCACCTTGCCAATGTCACTTTCATGCCCCACTCTTCATGGTGAAGTGAAAGCAGGGAGACAAGCATTTTTTTAACTAGTGTCTCCTGGGCCTTTGGCATGAATGTCCCTCCGTTCTCATCAGCCTTAAGTAGCCAAGGTAAAGAGAGAGAAAAACAATTGTATTCCATACCTGAAAATGTCTTAAGAAATGAGGGTCAGCAGCCACCGGCTTCCTGCATAGTTTGCCAGACCATTTGCAAAGAAATTAACCCTAGGACTAGGACATAAGTGACACAGAAAATTTGGGGCAGATTCTCGTTTCCTGACCCAGCCCCTCTTAGCCAGAGGATGAGCAAACAAACCCAACACAGCTCATGTAAGACATGGAATGCCTTGAGGAGGCGTGTTTATGAAAGCGAGAGTCACTTTAAAAATTGGTTTAAAAATACCCATCTGCTTTCTTAAATGTCTTATACATTTTTCCATGGATCACTCAGAATAAGTAAGATCTGGGCCACCTGCAGGATTAAAGGGAATGTTCATCTGGAGACTGAAAATCCACAGGGTTCTCTATAGAGACTATGTGCTTTCTTTTCTTCCTGCCCACACAGACTCAAGCAAACAAAAAGGAAAACAAAATCCATTAGGAGCCATGTTGAGCAGTTTCATTTAAAGTGTGCCTGTTATTACACAGTGCATAAAGTCAAATGTCCCCACACCGAACCAGCCAGCACGGCTCCAATTCATATATGAGCTTGTCCGTGTTTCTATCGAAGCAGGCCGGCCACATGTGGCACAGCACAGGACATTTTTAAATTGAGATACGAGGTGCTCGATTCCTTTCTTTGGAGCTGTTTTAGTCTAACGAATTTACTGCACGTCTCGGAAAACACACAGCTTTGCCAAAGTTGGTGAGTAGCCCGGCCCGGTTTATCTCCAGCCCGCAGCTCTTTCCCTGAATTCAATACTGCAGGCACAATTTAATGCAAACCCAATTTATGACTTAATGCTCTAGGGACCTGGTGGGAGATTGTTACATTATTCTTTTCTAATCCTATTTGTGTTTTAATTTGCTAAGTCTGTAATGAGGTGCATGCCTTGAATAGATTCAAGATCTTTCACATTGCTTTTGACTTTGTTTAATATAATAGATTTTACAGTTTGCATTAAATACCCAGGTGCTACGGTCAGTATTATCTCTTTATTTTCTCAACTAGAGTGAATAAAATTACACCATGAAAGTAATTGTGTACATGTTTCCTTGTTTATTGTAATGGTTTATTTCCTATTATAATTCTTGATTCAAATTACATCTAGTTCTCCAAAAGTCAATTCTCTGTGGCTCCCACTTCCCCGTTTCAGACAGTTGTAACAGCTGAAGAAAATGGTGTATTGGCTGACAATTGATCCGTTGAAAAATAATAGAATAAGTTTTCTGGTCTAATTTATGATTTCATTAAACAAAAAGGAAGAACGGGGGAGAGGAAGTGAAGGAGGGAGGGGGGAGGGGGGAGGGGGGTGTGCTGCGTCACCATGTACCTGCCACTGTTTTATTTCTGGCGTTTGTGTGAAACACACCATCTCTAATCAGAATTGCACATCACCCAACTCCATGGTGTGTCATTTGTTGTCCATAACTGTGTTAGAGCCAATTATAGCTAAATTCTCTGTTCTATATGCACAATCAAAGGGCGTCTGGAATGCATTTTGCTATTTTCTGAATCCTATTATTGCAGACATGTTTATTATGTTCAGAAGATGGCTTTCTGAAATTACCCCTGAAATTGTGCAACCCACCTGCCACTTACAAACAAAAGGACCTAACCCTTTCTTAACAAGGAGGAAGTTCATCTAGTCCCCGGGAACTTTTCCAGCTCGATTTTCTCCTAGGACAGTTTGGAAAAGACTCATTTCCCAAGCCCCTGAACATTTGTAAAAGCAACCAAGTTCTCCAGCTAACTCTTAGTTTTAAATTAATAGCACAGCAGGTCACAAAGGGGTACAAAGCAGCTCTTGGCTCCTGTGGCGGATGGATGCTGGCTGCAATTATCTTTATTAACATTTTTTCAAACTAGGAATAAAGAGATTGTAAAACATGCCCTCAAATGATCAGTATTTGATAGCCTTGAAGTAGCTCCTTGAGGTGGACTGTCACAAGAATAAAAACTTGGAGTTATGGCCTTCAGTTTCATTGGGGGCCATCCTAGGAGGAGAGTGCATGTTGTAAGGAAGACACACGATCTCTATTTGGAGAAGCAGCACCTCGTCATGAATTATTAAGGGAGGGAGTGCAGGCAGGTCCTTGTGAAGGGATGCTTTCCTTTCTCCTCTGCTGAAGCTCAGACACTTAAACCACCCACCCACCCCCACCCAAGCTTATTCTATCGCTGGCATTTGCCTCCCAGAGCCAGGGGATATTATTACCTTTTTATTTGCTATTTTTACAGACCCCAACAAAGTGCTTTGAAAATATATAACCACTTAATTCAAGCCAAGCCTCTTCAATGCGCCTTTCATTCAAGTGCTTTCTAATTTGTTTTCCCGCAGCCAGGAGCCTGGAGAAGACACAGTGATTTATGTTTTCATTTATTTACTTTATTTGGGCTTTTCATTTAAGAAAAGAATCTCTACACAACCCCTACAACCCTCCATTCTGCATCATCTCAACCATTCCAAGTTGCTCTACTGACTGTCTCAAAGCCAGACTTCCAAGTTGCAGAGTGATGTTTTGGGGGTTTTGCCATGGTCTTCGTGAGGGCTTGGCACTCTCCACCAAGGGAGTGGCCGTACTCAGGTTTTATTTCTACATTGGTTAACAAAGGAAATTCTTACACAACGTCGTAGAACTTCCACCTGGGGGTCTAGCAGCCATAGCCTTGAGTCTTGAGTCTATTTCCTGCCTGGTGACTTCAAGGGAATTACTCCCCTCTACACAGGATCATTGACCCTGTCATCCTGTCAATGAACTTATCAGATAACTTTTGTATGCCGGCTGCTGTGCGGGTTGAAGGCAGTACAGACAAGTTCCTGGTTTGCACTGACTCAGGCAGAGAGATAGATAAGTGCTGAAAATAAGTGTGGTAGCCATGGAAACAGGAGACGCCAGAAACACTTTCTTGAAGCGTGTATCTGTAAGTGAAACAATGCAAAATAGGGACTTCTGAGCTTGGTGTGGTAGCACAGGCCAATAGCCCCAGCACTTGGGAAGTCAAAGCAGGAAGATCGACAATTCAAAATCTGCCTCAGTTGCATAGTCAGTGTGGGCTACTTAAGACCCTGCCTCAAAAAAAAAAATGGGGGGAGGTGTTTCCTCATGATTTGAATATAAAATGTTCCCTGCAGGCTCACTCATTTGCACACTTGGTGACGACTAGCTGGTGACACTATTTAGGGAACTGTGGTGCCTTAGGGAGGTGGGTCTAGCTGAAGGAAGTGCATCACAGGAGGCCTGAAGGTTGATTGGCTGGCCCCACTTCCTGTCCAGCATCTGCTTCTTGATACGGACCCTCACGTGAGCAAGCTCCAACTGCCAGAGTCACAAAGACCTCCTGCTGCCATGCCCCGCCCCCCAACCACGATTCCCCTAAACATGAGCCAAAATAAACTGTCCACTCTCGGGCTGCTTTAGCTGGGTGTTTAATCCCATCAACGAGAAAAGAACTAAATGTAGGGTCCGATAACGTCTGCTTCCAGGGGCCTGGATGACCAAGGGGGTTAATATATAATGGGGACTCGGCATTGCTGGTGGCACAAAGACTTGCTTAGGAAATAATCAGAAAAGCAATTACTGTCATAGTTGCTAAGTTCCATCCAGAATCCTCAAAGGAATTAGTGTCAGCAAACCATAGCATTTCACCTGCAAGAAGATTCGAGCTCTGTCCTGCTGCTCTAATTGTTTTTTTCAAGTGGAGATAACTAAATAATAGTGGTTTCTGCTAAACATTAAAGTAAATATAAAGATAAACGAGCTAAAATTGTTAGGCTCTCTTCTGCTTAAAAAAATTACTAGCAGTTAACTGAGTATCAAAAACTAAAAAATCTAGAGCAGAAATGAATCGGACAGCTCAGCTGGACCCACTCTAAAGGGGACTCACCTTCCCCACCAAGGCCTGGATTTCTTCAGCAGAAGAATTCTGTCCTCCAAATAGTTTTTCCAGTATACGGATACTTTTTTTAAAATGTAAATGTTAATAATCAAAACATTTTAAATTAAGATTTACACATTGGGCAATGTATTTCTCGTAGAAACATTAGAAGTAGGTTCTTTCAGCAGGAACTGGCTCCATGTACAACCCAATAAACCTGCACTTCTGAGACTAAGCTTTACCACAGCGAAGTGCAGTACCCGGGCCAACATGGCGTGGATGATGGGCTCTCCAATACAGCTTCCTGAAACAAGGAGAACCAGGAGCTGATGCAAATAGTATTTGAATATACACACAAGCTCGCAAATGTCTGAAAATAATCATATCTCTTAGTTGAACTTTATTTATCAAATAGTTCAGTGCGCTGTTTTGGCGACCTTCAGATAAGGTCCAAGTCAAGGGTAAATTACCCTGCCCAACAACACTGAAAGAATTTCGGGTTCTAGGTACAGCCTGAGAACTCAGGTGAGGGGGAGAGTGTTTTGACAGGGCAGAGTAGCTAGACAGCAAAGGAAGCCATTTAGGAAGCCATAAGCTGACAGAAGACTTGCCTAGATGTGGTTTGACATAGAAACTATAACCAAAAAATGATGCCCCAGCTTCTATTTCTACCTAGCAGTTAGTTATTTGCTAAACTCAGTTTCAAGGTAACATCTGTCACACACGTGTGCACAGAACTGTCACTCTGGGCTGTGACATGGTGTGATAGTGGTTGGAGGTTCTAAAAGACACTGGTAGCTATGGGCAGAGAAGAAAGCGTTACCTTAGGATCCAACAGAGACCCAGAGGTCAGAGGTCAACAAGAACAAAGGATTGAATGAAACTCCACAAGAACTAGAATTGCAGAAAGTCCCAGAAGTCCCAGGCATGGCAATGAGATTCACCCAGCTCAGGGACAGAGAATGGAATCAGTCCCACCCCTCCTGAGTTGAGTCTTTAGACAGCTGTTCCAAACAGGTCCTCACCTTGTGACTGTGGTAGCTGACAAGTCCAAAGGAACAGGTGGAGCCACATTTTCAGATTCAGGGACCCAGCAATACCCTGAGTGCATTCTGATAGGGGTCTTTAAGCAAGCGAACCCTGCCATCCATGAACGGTTACCGATCTAATGACTGATTAATGGCAAAGAGTCCTTGATGATCCAACAGTTCATTAGAGTTGACTAAACCAGCAGGACTCTTGGAAACTCTTTCGAACTCCTCTCTAGAGGCTCTATGAGTACCACCCCTGCTCACATATCAGACCACTGCCCCGTGTATTGAACCCACAGATGTGAGACCACAAGAACAGGGTAGACCTACGTGACTAAAATTGGAAGCTTAAAGGCAAATATGGACCCACGTGACAGAGTCACGGTGTCACACTGCCAAAGCCACATGAGAAGCTCGAGAGAGGCATGCTGGGAACCAAATGAGCTCCCAATAGGTGACTACTTATGCCAGGAATTGGGCTGTTATCATGGTAGTGTGGAAAGAGTGAGTCAATTCACCATTCATTCATCATTTAATAAATTAGTGTTTATTAAATACCTATTATCCATATGGCAGCAGAGACAAATGTTTTATACACATCACACCAATACATACAATTGCCATGACTGTGTGAGAAAACTGACACTGTCGAGTCACGAGGCCACATGACACCATGTAACTTATCTTAAATATCATACTGCCAGTTGTGATCAGACCGGGCAGCCAATTCCAGCTCTCTTTCTAAAGTTATTTCTTTCTTTTCATACTGTTCTCAGAGTTTCAAGCACTTGATTTTTTTGGAAAAATCTCAGTCTCTACGGACATGAGGAATGGTGATTGCTGCTGCTATCCATTTGAAAAGAGATCGTCAATTCTCATTTTTATGGAGAAGGTAATTAAAACATTCAGGGAAGTCTCAAGTGATTATGGTGAAGAATTCTCACCCGGACCTTCTTTCTAACAGAGCTAGCCGCCCATGCCTGTGCTATTAGCAGGACAGGATGCTCCATGGCTGGGTGGGTTTCCTCCTGCCCACAGTGAAGCAGATCCCACGCAGAATAGGTACAAAGTAGAGTCAAATTGCGTGGCAGGTGGACAGAGTGTGCAGGGAAGTCTCATCAAAGTTGGAAGAGACTGATGGTGCCCTGCAGGACAGCAAACCACACCTTAGCACTAATGAACTGATTTAACTTAAAACAATCATGAGGGGAACAATGTGGGTGCAGTGGAGAGCAGGGGAGGGGAGAGGAAGGGAGAGAGATCATCACTTTAGTGAAGACATTTATCCCCACCTCCTGCGCGTCCTCAGGCTGCTGCTGCTCCCTTGAGCACTTTGTTTTCCTGGCACATCAGGCTAGAACTGGCCAAGCAGAGGCTCACTGGTGAAGATCCTTGCTGGAAGACGCCCAAGACAAACGCAAGCGATACAAAAGGCCTCTAAAACCTCTCTCCACCTGCAATGATCTTAGAAGAATGAGCAGAAGTCCTGAGAACACCTATGTCACTGAACACCAAGAACAGAACAGGCTGTCGCCTTAGTGGTGTGCGGTCTGAGCACCCTACCCTGCTCCGTCAGAGTACACAATCACAGCGGAAATATGCCCAAACGTGTCAAGATCTGGAGGGCGGCCACTCGTCGCTCCTCTGAAAACTACCACCAGTGTTGGTTGACCTCCATTACTGAACTGGCACAGATTAGCTGAAGTAATACTTCAACTGTTTTTTAGTGCCCAACTATATGTTCTGTTATAAGGAATAGCAAATGTTTAATCATAAATATTTTAATGGCTTCAGGGATTCATGGTATTCAATGACCGTGTTAAATGATAATAATCACATCTGGTTTATTACTATAGTAATTCAGCAGATTCTCTTCAGCAGTTATTTTTTATTATATGTGCTGTGCTACTGTCATGGTCATTTATAGCAGTAATATTTTAAAGTGGCTCATTTGTTTGTTTAAGGACAGTTTCACAATATATTTCTGTATTAATATACATTTTGCACTATTATTTCCAAGCTGCCCGCTGGAAAATTGATCCCAGCCTGTTCGGACTGGAGAGGCCGACAACCCACGAAACGTCCAGGCAGAGATGGAGTGGGGGGATGAGACGGGACTGTCCCCGTGCCCACTGGGGTGGTGATAACTGCTGCTTAGCGGTATTCATAAATGAAGAAATGTCTTAAGAATTAGGAAATAGTAGCTGTAAAGGGAAGACCACGGATTTGGGGGATTCCCAGGGGCAAAGATGTCTGGGAAGAGCCTTACGATGCATCACTGGCAAGGCCAAGGTGGTCAGGACTTGGCAGCCTCTGTGTAGTGAGTGATAGAGTGGGGTGAAAGTGAGGCAAGGGCAAGTCAAGGTCATGTGGCTCAGCCACTGAGGTTTGCTTTAAATCCAGTCTACGTGGGCATGAGAGTTAGTGGCTGCTGCTGTGTGCACCTTTGCGGTCGTCCGATTGGATGGCTCCCACAGGAGGGTGTCACAGGTACCATGACCATGACCAGTGCCTGCTACACCTCCGCCCTTCTTGGTGTATCAATTCATCCACTGTTCCTTAGGAGAGTAAGGCAAGCAAGGGACCTTCCTAACCCGGGGGAGGCCATTTTTGTTGGCATTCCGATAAATCAGGCTGTGGAAAGTCCGGAGAAAGCTGGCCAACTTCAGTCTTGCTTCCTCTTGCCTGGATGCTGATTGGCTGGGAGACGGAGGGCAAATGGCTTTTACGGCTATGACGGATGTATGACTATAAAATGGTCCGTAACCAGAAGTACCAACTGACATGCCTGCTGATTTAACGGACACCCAGGGTTATGTTTGTAGAGTCGCTTAAGTAAACACGTGCTAGGTTTGAGGGTGTTTGCTGAGTGATCATTTCTCTTGCTCTTCCTTCCCATTTTATTTTACTTCATCATAAAATTGAGGATAGTAAAGCCACGCTTCCCGTTTCTATAATAATGAAGATTGACTCATGGCAGTGGCAGGTCCTCTTCATTTCCTGCTTTCTACCTCCAAGGTAGCTGGGACAGGCGCAGAAGCCCTGAACGCAGGTAAGGTTGGAAGCCACAGCCCCTGGACAGCTTCCCCCTGGAGTCTTGGAGATGGGCTTTCAAGTTTGCTTCTCCATTCGGAGAACTAGAAGAGAAGCTGGGCTCACCGCCAGATCAACAGAATGGGGAGATTTCTGCTTAACTACAAGTCAACAAAAGTGTCAGGGACAGAGATGTTGACCTTCCCAGCATGGACTTCAATCAGACCAGGGCATGCCCCTTGACATCACTGGGCCTTGCAGCCTGGGGTTTCTCTAACTCAGTGGCTATCATGGCAGTGAGCAGGTCAGGTTTGGTCTGGGACCTGGGTTTTGTACTGTAACTGAATGGTCTTTAGAGGACTATACATTTTACTGAGTTTGGAAATTGTCTCAAACAAATCGTTGAGAAGTGTGGAAGGCATCATACAGCGGTTCCTGGCTCTATTTGTGGGAACTGGCTCATTAGACCCATTTGATTTCATGTTTCACGTCGGGTTAAGAACAGCAAACTGGCTTCCCCTGTTCACCCACTAGACGTCAGCTGACCTCATCAGCTCCCTCTGGGCTCCAGCAGACATCGCCCACTCAGGCAAGCTGGCACCCAAGACAAAACCTACTTGCAGCTCCTATTCTAGAGCCTCCGGCTTTTCACTCCCCAAGGGGAAAATAATTTCCAGAACTTTCCATGCTTATCTGCTGCTTGAAGCATTTTTCATTTCTTTTTTTAAAAATGTAGATGATGGGGCTTTAAAGAGAACAAGAGAGAACATGGAGTTGGGTGGGCATGCAGGGACGTGGGGTAGATCTAAGTGGAGTAGGGTAATGATTAAAATAATTTGTATGGAATTCTCAGAGAACTAATATGTTTTTAAAACTAGTGGAATTACTTGTTTTGTGAGTATCATGATTCAGTGGCAAATCTTGAGTCAACTTTCCTCTGTGGAAATGCCCCCACTCAAGTTTTCGTTTCTTCCTGGATCCATTTCCAGTATTCACTCAGACTGCAAGAGGCTGTCCTGTTTTATTCATTTGAAGAAGCAATTTTTTGCATGTATTTATTCTTTCTACTCAATTTGTTTTTCACTATGCCATTTATTTTAGCCTTGGCCTGTATTAATCAATTTCTCTTTAGTGTTTCATTTATGTTAATTTTTACTCATTTTTTCGAATTTCTTGAGATTAATACATGCATTTTCTTTTTCCTAGTTCTTTTTAATAATGGAAGAAGCCAAGATTGTGTGTATGGGCCAAATCAGAACTACAAATGGTTATTGTACAAGTTGGGAGCTAAAAATGGTTCTTATGTTTTTAAAAAAAAAAGTATAAACAAAACAGAAAATAATCTGTGGAAGAGTCCATGAGTCACCCAAGCTCTTACCTTCTGCAGAAAAAGCCGATGCTGACCCTTACTCCAGCATCTTAGGCTCTTGCTTCTACTTAACGCAGCCCTTACTCGGTCCCACCTGCTCATATGACTTACCCTTCCCCTTGGTTTCTAGACACATAATTTGCCTTTTAATTTGATTTTAATCAAAGGATTATTCCAGCATGTTTCATGTTATCTACCTGGCCCTTCTTTTGACCGTAGTTCATATGAAGACATAGTGATAGAATGTGAATGATCGTCTTTCTACCCACTAACTAGTCCTACCTGCTCCCATAGGCATTTCACCCACTAACTAGTCCTACCTGCTCCCATAGGCATTTCACCCACTAACTAGTCCTACCTACTCCCATAGGCATTTCACCCACTAACTAGTCCTACCTGCTCCCATAGGCATTTTGGGAGCTCAGTAACTTTTTTTTAATGCAGTTTTTTTTTTTTTGGTATCTTTTCTAAATCCACATCCCTTCTTGATCTAAACTTTTTTGATAAAATCCTCTTGTTCTTTATAATAACTGACTTTGGGGCTAAATTAAGCATTGGGATTCATATAAATAAAAAATGGGACAATATGTTGCTGTCTTTTTAAAGTGTACACTGTAAGACATGGCTCCAGCCCCAAAGTCAACTGTCACCACCCCATAGGAAATTGCTCTGTCTTAATAAATTACAATAAGACTAGGCACACACTTTCATATCAAGGCTGGATGAGGCAACCCAAGGGAAATGGAGGAGGAGTGGATCTGGGGAAGAGGGAGGTGGGGGTGACTGGGAGGGCTGGAGGGAGGGGAAACTGCAGTCGGGATGTAACGTATGAGAGAAGAATGAACTTAAAAAAGAAAAAAGAAAAAGAAAATTGTTCTGTCTCCATTGCATTTCCAGCTTGGTGGGACTCCACAGACCCCTTTTACTGAGGCGTCTTCTCTGCAGGAGAGAGCTCCTTATTAGGATGTGAGCATGCATACAACTGTACGTGAACCTGGAAACTAATAAACCTATAGTGTTGTGGGATAATCTTTTTGTCCACTGTGAAGATGTGTCTCTGCCAAGGCACCTTCTGATTGGTCTAATAAAGAGCTGAATGGCCAATAACTAGGCAGGAGATGATAGGCGGGACCTCTGGGAAGAGATGGAACTCTGGGAAGAAGAGAGGCAGAGAATTTGCCAGTGAGACAGTATGGAGGAGAGGTAAGGAGCCACATGGCAGAATGTAGATTAATATAAATGGATTAATTTAAGTTATAAGAGGTAGTTGGGAACAAGCCTAAGGTAAGGTCAAGCTTTCATAATTAATAAGAAGTCTCCACGTCATTTTTGGGGAGCTGGCGGTCCAAACAAATTCCAGCTATACTGCAGCTTGGTTAAACTAAAGAGACTCAAGAATATAGACACAAAAGAAGAACTGGCAGTTATATCCATGGCAAATGTAGAGTGGGCCGTCATAACACTCAGTGAACCTGGTAGATATATTACCTCATTATCTGCTCTTCAAAGAAAGAACCATTCAGTCCCTAGGAGCCATCTAGAATGTCAAGTCCATGTAAAAACCACAACCTGGAGCTTAAAAGACCTTCTGTTCTCCCAGGCTGAAGGTAACTTCTTCCTGCAAATTCACTCCTCTCAACTCTGGCCTCAGTTCTCCATTCATGTCAAGAGAAGCGTCCTTTTCTCCACGACCAAGAGTTGGCTGCATCTGAGGGCATTGTTCCATGGCAGTAAGTCTCAGAGAGGCTAAACTAGAAATAATCTGCTGAGCTATTCACTTACTGTGAAAAATGGAACTAATGTGTGCATAAAACAGTCATGTGTCAATAAAGTCGATATGCTAACCTAACGTCATTGTAAAGTCACTTAAAGATGAGGTGAAGCCCACTTTTTTCCCCATGCATTTCTATGGTTATCAAAACTACTACTGACTTCAATAGCTGATGGATACATAAATAAAACGTGGTCTATTCATCCAATGTAATATGATTTGGCAATAAAAAGAAATAATGTTCTGATAAATACTGCAACGTGGATGAAAGTAGATTATAACAAGTAAATTCTTTTGATATGAATGGTTGAAAATAGGTACATCCATAGAGCTGGAAAGCAGGTGAGTACTTGTCTAGTTATGAGGCAGGGGGGAGTTGGGGAGTAATAATTAAATGCTAAAAGGTATGGAGTTTGTAATATGAATTGCTAAACAGTCTTATTAATTTAAAAAAACCGGGAGCCAGGTATTGGGGTGAATTCTGAAAGATCAGAGAAGCAGAATAAGCCAGAACCAACCTCATTTCACCAACTTCTCAGCTGAATCTGTTTCCTCAGAATGAAAGCCTCTGAGTCCTCATCCGAATGGGTCTCAGCTGAACTGCTGCTAAAAGTCTAAAAGCTTAAAAGCCTCTACTCTGGTTCTCACATCTTATATACTTTTCTGCTTCCTGCCATCACTTCCTGGGATTAAAGGTGTATGTCTTTCTCAAGCAAGACAAGAGATCTCAAGTCCTGGGATTAAAGGTGTGTGCCACCATGCCTGGCTCTGTTTCCAGTGTGGATCTCTGCCTCCCGAGTGATAGGATTAAAGGTGTGTATGCCACCATTTTCTGGCCTCTATGTCTATCTAGTGGCTGTTCTGTTCTCTGACCCCAGGTAAGTTTATTAGGATGCACAATATACTGGGGGACACAATATCACCACAGGAGTTTCTTTTGGAGGTGATAAAAATATCCTAGACATGTGATGCTGCATGGCTCTTTGACTATACAAAGGCATACTGGTTGTATAATGTAGGTGGGTAAGTTGTATATATTGAATTATATCCAAATACAGCTGCTTTGAATCATTTTAAAAGAATCTCTGTGGGGCTGGAGAGATGGCTCAGTGGTTAAGAGCACTGGCTGCTCTTCCAGAAGTCTTGAGTTCAATTCCCAGCACCCACATGGTGGCTCACAACCATCTGTAATGAGATTCAGTGCCCTCTTCTGGCCTGCAGGCATACATGCAGGCAGAGCATTGTACACATAATAAATAAATAAATCTTAAAACAAAACAAAACAGAAAGCAATATCTTTAAAAAAAAAATCTCTGAGATGGTTTGTGGAGCATATCCAGATTAAAATTGTGTTTTCATGTGAAGGCATTGTTTTGAAGGCCTTTCCCTTCTCATAGTGGACGGCAGAAGAGTATAAGGGCAGGCAAATCACAGGTCCCATTAGAGTCTTGACCTGTGTCACAGCCATGGACATCCTGTTGGCCAAACAAGTCACAGGGCTCTCCTCAGTGTCCCAAGGGAGAGGTTCCGCTAATGGAGCCACTGCCAGGGTCACATGGGAAAGGGCTGTGAATACCAAGTCTTTTTCTAGGAATGAGGTAGAACATCCGGACTGAGAATAAACTCCCCTGTAAGTGATTAGAGGTGTGTGACCCTGACACAACAGAATGCTGGCACTCGCGTATCTCCTCTCCCTGACACGCTGAAAACTCAGCCCGTCTCCTTTCCTCAGCACAGTCTTCTTTGCTTTGATTTTCTGTCAACAAAACTCAAGGCGTGTTTAAGCTGTTGCAAAATGAACTGAGCCACGTCATCCGCGCTTTACGGTTTGCAATGCTGCTGACTCCACCGACTTCAAGAACTTTGTGCGATACCTCCAGCCTGTGTGGTTTCCAACTAGACATCTTAGGGTATGTTGAGATTAAATTTACCTGATATCAACAAAGACCTCTGAGTAACACCGTAGTAAGGAAAACACAACTTCATTTGTTTCTCAGGAAGATCCCAGGGGAGCATTTCAGTGGGTAAGACAGTTCTGCTCCATGGAGTCCTCAGGGACCCAGGCTCCATGCAGGGAGTGACTCTTGCTGTCCTGATCCAAGAGGGCAGCCATTCCATGCACTTTCCATGCAGTAGGATCAAGGAGTCGGGAAGAAAAAGACGAGGAACAGGAGACACAGTGGACAGGAATCAGAGCAAGCACATCTCCGAGCGCATCACAACACTCCCATATACTTTAAGTGCCAGGACTTTGTTTCCTGGCCACACCTAACTGCAGTGATCACTGGAAAAGGTAAATTGCCTGGTAGAGAAAAATATATGTTGTGGTGGAGAGGAGAGGAGAAGAAAGGAGAGTAACAGGGGAGGGAGCTGGAAGGTGAGTGGAGAACAGAAGAGAAAAAGGAGAGGAGAAGAGGAGAGAGGGGAGGGGAGAGGAGAAGGAATGGATACGGATGATGTATTTGTTTCGTTGCTTTGATGATGTCTTAGTCGGGGTTTCTATTGCTGTGAAGAGACACCGTGACCGTGGCAACTCTTATAAAGGAGAAACATTTAATTGGGGCTGGCTTACAGTTTCAGAGGTTTAGTCCATTATCATCATGGCAGGACATAGCGGTTGACATGGTGCTGGAGAAGGAGCTGAGAGTTCTACATCTTGATTCGCAGGCAGCAGAAGGAGACTGTGTACCACACTGGATGTAGCTTGAACATATGAGACCTCAAAGCCCGCCCCCACAATAATACACTTCCTCCAACAAGGCCACCTGCTAGTGGTCACACTTCCTGACACCTGCTCCAACAAGGCCACTGCTCCCAGTAGTGCCATTCTCTATGGGCCAAGCACTCAAACACAGGAGTCTGTGGGGGCCATTCTTATTCAAACCACCACAGATGAAATACCCTGACAAAAGCAACTTGAGAGGGAAAGGGCCCATCTTGGCTCACTAGTCCATAAGAAATACAGTCCATTAAGATAGGGAAGACATGGCGGCAAGAGCATTAGTCCAGCCCATCACACTGCATTTGTAGATAGAGAACAGGAGGCAGGGCCCACCTATAAACCCTCAAAGCTCACCCTCCGCCCAAGTGACATGCTTCCTCCTAAAGGTTCCATGATCTTCCCAAACAGCCCTAGTGTTATCCAAGTGGTTTGGATGGTCATGAGAACTATAGTTCCAGTTTACCAGTAATGACTTCACAAGTAGCAAGGGTGTCTTTTATCCACATCTTATGAATAACGTATTGTTGCAGAAATGCCAACCTTACGGAGACTCAGGAACCACAGTGATAGTGTTCAAGTCCAAAGAGTGTCATGTACTTCGCTTGTTGCTTTGACAAAGTACCTGACAGATTTAACCCGAGAGAGGAAGGCTTTGTTTGGGCTCATGTCCTCAGCGGGTTTAGTCTGTGGGTTCTTGGCCCCCTGTGATGAACACCGTGGTGGCGGGGTGTGAAGCAGATGAGTTCCCCACCTTGTGGCAGAAACAAAGCAGAGAGGGTAAAGAAGGGACTAGGAACCATGTAAAAATTTTCCTGTGACCCAATTCCTCCAGCAGCAAAGCCTCACCTACTAAAGTTTCCAGAATCTCCCCAAATAGCACCATCAGCAGTGACTGTGACACTCCACACAAGAGCCCGTGGGGGACAATTCACGTTCAAACCATCACACACCCTGTAAGAGTGGTGTGACCTTGAGACAGGCTCCTTCTAGTAGACAGTAGTTGTGCTGCCTCGTAGGGCAGATCTGACAATCAAGTGAACTAAACCATGACTGCCATGATCACTGTAAGACAGTTGACTTTATTCTCTACTAGGCAGTATGTTGGTTCATTTTGTCAATATAACACAAGCTGGCATCACCTAGGAAGAGTGAACCTCAACTGAGGGATTGCCTTCACCATTTTCTTGATATATTCTTGATGTAGAATGGCTTGGCCCATGTGGGTGGTAACACCCCTGGGCAGGTGGTCCTGGGAGCCATAAGAAAGCATGGTGAGCAAGCCACGAGGAGCAAGCCACAAGGAGCAAGCCACGAGGAGCATCCCTTCATAGTCTCCGCATCAGTTCCTGCTTCCGAGTTCCTGCCTTGAGTTCCTGCCTTGGCTTCCCTAGATGATGATGGACTAAGTCTGGGACATGGAAACCAAACAAATCCCTTCCTCCTCCAAGCTGGTTTTGGTCAGTGTTTTATCACAGCAACCAAGAAAACAGACTAGAACAGGCAGAGAGCCAGTGGAAAGGACAACAAAGGCATGCCGTGGCCGGACTCTTTTCTCAAGGCACCAGCACCTACCTCTGCTAGTGTAGACAGTGGTAGAGTGTGGTGATATTGTGCACCCTAATAAACTTATCTGGGGTCAGAGAATAGAACAGCCACTAGACAGACATAGAGGCCAGAAAATGGTAGCACACATGCCTTTAATCCTAGCATTCCAAAGGCAGAGATCCTCCTGGATCTCTGTGAGTTCAAAGCCACACTGGAAACAGCCAGGCATGGTGACACACACCTTTAATCCCTGGAAGTGAGGGCAGAAAGGTATATAAAGCGTGAGGACCAGGAATTAGAGCTGGTTAAGCTTTTAGGCTTTTAGCAGCAGTTCAGCTGAGATTCATTCTGGATGAGGACACAGAGGCTTCCAGTTTGAGGAAACAGGATCAGCTGAGGAACTGGTGAGGTGAGGTGGCTGTGGCTTGTTCTGCTTCTCTGATCTTCCAGCATTCACTCCAATACCTGGCTCCAGGTTTGCTTCTATTAATAAGACCTTTTAAGACTCGTGCAACATTAGAGCATCTGGGAGGAGGGCTCACCATACCCTGGTGAACCATGAAGGGCAAGATGGTGGGGCCCTGAGAAGTCTTGATGTGATGGGGGCAAGCAGTTGGAGGTCTTTGGACACAGCACCTTCCTGAAGGCATCCAGCCTTCACTTGGCCAAATCATGGCTGTATCTTATTTGCAGACATTTGCTCAGGTACAAAAGCCATGCATTAAAAAAAAAAAAAAAAAAAAAAAAAGCCATGCATGAAGACCACAGAAAGTAGGAAGAAAACAAATGTTTATCTAGCCTTCCAGATAAA